TCTCCCAGTGCTTTCTATGTAGCTTTTGTCACTTAACAGAGCTGGGCCTAGGGTGTGGTGAATGAAGCTCTCTCAATCAAGGTCACTTAGAAATTTAGGGATAAAATGTGATTTCATTAGATCTGCCAGAACGCGAAAAATTACCATAGCCATTCATTACCTAAAAAGTTTGATATTGATCTATACAATTGAATCATCCTTTTTTCAAACGAAGTTGTTTTTCTGGCCCCCCTCCCCCTGGCCCCAACAAGGAACATGCTATACAAGCTTATCCTAAGTTCGTTCCGGGCTAGTTGATGAGTTAACTATTTTAAGCTCTTCCGGCACTTGTACACTCTTAAAGTCTTAATATGAATTTTTTTTCCAGGTCACTCACTAGTGAACCTTGTAAAGATTTGGCAAGTTGAGTTAATGGTTGTCCAAAGTCAGACTCAGCACCTTTTTCCGGAAACTGTAAGAAAAACAAAAAGGATGGAATTAGTCTCAGGAATCTCATTAAGAATACAATGGCGATATATTTGTTTTATTCTGCTATTTCTATAGTTCTGATCTCGATTAACTCAATCGTGAGTTCATCTTGTGGCCTTATGATTTTTAGTTGCTCGTTTTGATCAATCATCTGTTTCTGTTATTTAACGAAAACCAGAATCCGCTTCATTGATGTCTCTTCCTTTTCATTGAAAACATCAGTGCCTCTTTTTATTCACTTGCGTATTTTTCTCCTTGTTTTCATTTATTCATTTTCAATGAGAAGTAAGATAACTCATATGTGGAGTTTTCCTACGGTGAAAATGGACCCGGAGTTAAACATCATGGAAGTGTTTGAGAACACTGATCTCAGATAATTTCTTACAATTCACATATTTAAAAACAACTAATAAATCCAAGCTTGAAAGATGAGATGAGCTTGTCCGCCTAGTGAAATACACTCTGGAGAACAGAGAATTTCAAGGTGGGAATAAGGAACAACTCTCGTGATATGAGAACAGAATTCCTTTGACCTTAACAAGTATGTGCTTTAAGGACTCAATAGACATTGGATAAATCATTGTGCGACGCTGGTTTTGATGGTGAATTCAAGACTTATTAGGTTTCTTTTTGGACTTGCCTTTTCAATAGGAGGCTGTCTTCGGTTCTTGCCATGTGGCTCTCCCCAACATAGCTGCTTACTGATCAAAACCAGCAAAGGAGAGAGTCTCCTGGGAGGACACATACTACAATCTTCTTTAACATCAGCTGGGGAGTGACATCCCCTCAACTCTGACATATTCTATTGGTTAGAAGCAAGTGACAGGTTTTACCAATACCCAAGGGGACAAAGATGTGACTACGAGAAGGTGGGGGACATGGGAGCCAACTGAGTGTTTGACTTCTATAGTCACACTTCCTGGGTTCAAACCCTGTCCCATCTCATACTAGTTCCATGAAACTTAGGCATCTTATGAATCTCCAAGCCTCAGTTTCCTCCACTGTAAAATGAAAAATCTGCTCACACTTGCATCATAGGATTATTACATTTCAGCCATTCCTAACTTCTAGCCATTCTTGTGCCATGTTCATGATCATTGCCTAATTTGTATGTCTCATGAAATATCGTTCACTTACTATAAATCTCTCCTTTGAAATCTAAATAACTTACTTAAAAAGCAAATTTAATAATACCACTACAAATTAAAAAGAACGGGTAGTGTCAGAAGATAATGGTAAACACACACGTTGTCAGTAATGAAAATTATTTGTTTGCAAAATTTATTTTGCACATGTATTGTGAGGGGTGTATCCATGCACCTTTAATAAAAACACTGAAAAAAAAATCAATGTAATATATGTAATACAGTGCCAAGCATATGGTTAGTGCTTAATAAATAAGCTGTGCTCATTACATATCTATAAGTTTAATCTTCAGAATATGTTGTATATAGGATAGGCAAAAATAGAACAGGCTGTCGGCAGACACTGCTGGTTAATCATGATTCTCTTTCTGCCGTGTCTGGACTCAACTTAAAAATCCTTCTCAGTATTGTGTTTCAGGCAGGCATCGCCAATCAAGGGGCGTTGACACACACCAGAGGACTCGATTGGCCTTTGATAGATGTCACTCGGTGTAAGAGGATCAGGGCAAAGCAAATTATAACCGAAGAATTAATGATAAATGAACCGAAGGAGGAAATCACTTATTAAAAAGAAACCAAATGCAAATGGAAAAACAATTAAAAAGCATTTATCATTCAAATACGAGCAGTGAACTCTTAATATTAATTTTGACTTCCAGACCACTTTCTGCCCATCACCTCACCTCGCTGCTCTTACATGTGCAGAAAGTAGCTCATACTCCACTAAAGGAAAACTAATTTGGGAGGGAAAGTGTCCAATGGTGCGAATCTTTTAATTTATTCTAAAGCATCAGTGCCTGGTCATTGATGCTGCTCAGAAGGCCCAGTGCAAGGCATCTGATGATCGACGGTTCTGCAAATACTTTTTTGCTGATGGATAAAGATGTGCAGGGCAGAACAGTCATGGACAGCAACAAGCGATTGAGTCATTCGGATCGGTGTCCAATCCTGGGGATTAGAGAACGCTCAACAGATTAGGCTGAATCATAAATAGAGCGTTAGCTTTCAACCAGAGATGTTCAACAGGCTTATGCTAAATACTTGCTGGTAGACTGGCCACGGAGGGACAGGAAATGAGCGAGGGCTGAGTCAGGGAGATCAGGGTCTGAGTCTAAGTTTTTGCTTACCATGTCTCCCCGAGTGAGATCTTTGACTTCTCCAAGCCTATGGACAAGTGGAGAAATGGAAAGATTCCCAGGTCGCTGCAAGGCTCTGCGAGGAGCGGCTGAGTCAAGGTACAGGAAAGGACCAAACAACTGTCCGCACAGCTTAGTCACGTCCATGCGTAAAATGAACCGTCGCAGTCGTCACGAGGAGCGAATCAGCTCAGGCACCTGAAGGCTGGCGTGACTCGTGGGAGAACTCAGGGTGGGAGGAACTACGTTGATCAGATATGCTTCATTACGCCTTGTATCGTTACATTTTATATTTGTGTTGTAGACCTATATTGCGCTTTCTAATTTTTATAACATATTTCCGTTACATATGACTTCATCTATACCCTTCCATCCCCAGATGCCTGCGTGTTGTCCTCTACCCTGCAAAGAGGTATGTCCTCCTGTCTCTGGTGACGGAGCCAGCAGAGGAAAAGTTGAACTCTTGAAAGAGAGTAGACTGTGAGAGCCAACGGCCAGTGCTGGGGGCTGTTGCAAACATTACCGAGACGGGCCATTAGATGAAGAAAAATATTTACTGAGAGCTTCTCATGAGCTCTAAGCCAGGTGTCTGAGGTACGGTGGCAAACCATCCTCATTGAACCTACATTCTAGAGTGTGTGTGTGTGTGTGTGTGTGTGTGTGCGTCCTAGGTACGGTGGCAAACCATCCTCATTGAACCCACATGCTAGAGTGTGTGTGTGTGTGTGTGTGCGCGCACGCGCGCAAGCATGCACGGTGGCAAATTGCAGCCACATAATCACACAAATCACATCAACGTGCCATCATGGGGAGTATGAGGGAGAGGGACACGTTGTGTGTGTGTGTGTAGGTGGCAAATCGCAGCCACATAATCACACAAATCACATCAACGTACCATCATGGGGAGTATGAGGGAGAGGGACACGTTGTGGGAGGCAGGGCATGAGCCAGGAGCCAACTCCCTGTACCAGAATCCTGGCGCTCCTATGTGCCGTCCGGTCATTCTGGACTGATGACAGACCCTCTCCGTTTCCTCAGATGTGAAATGGTGAGGATGATAATACCCGCTGGACGGGGGCGGTGAGGGTTCGTGGATTCGGGCATTTCAGGGGCAGAGCAGTCAATGAACATGAGTGATCATCATCATCATGACTACCGCTCTGTCGGCCAGCGTCCACCCCAGGCGACCTGCCCCGGGAAGTGAGTGGTAGCTGACATAGTTGTCGCTCTGCCCAGATGCCCTGCCTGCAGATCCTGCTTCTTTGCTCCTCCTGGCCAGCACCTATCCCCTTGGGTCGCTGGAGCCACTTCGTATGGGCACACTAAGAGTGAGAGGAACCTGGGCGTCGATGTCCGACAGTGCAGCCCGGGGGCCTTGCCCCGAGGAGACCACGCCGTGCTGTCACGTGCACTCCAGGGCTCCCCGGGGTCGGGCTGAGTCTGGACCTCACCCCTAGTCGCATCTCCTGTGGCTCCTTTTCCTTCTCCTGCTGCCCGCACTCCCTCATAGGTCTCCCGAGGAATCACTTCCTCAGTAGATGCTGGTCCCAGAGGCAGCCTCTGGGGGTCTCTGCCATCCAGGAAGACTTCCTCCAGGAAGCCTGAGCTGGGCTCTGAGTGCGGAGGAGGAGGAGGAGGAGAGGTAAAGAGTGTGCCAGGAGGAAGGACGGCGGGAGGAAGGATGGTAGCGTCAAAACTCGTGGACGGATAGCATTTAAGGGAAAGAAGAAACTGGCAGAAGCCAAGTTAGCCGGAGTCTGCAGGCATCCAGGGCCTGTGGGTCAGTGGGGCCATGCCTTGCAGGACACCAAGGTCCACCTTAAGGAGTAGGCTCTTTCTGTAAGAGCAATAGGAAGCCACAGAAGCAGGAAGGAGACCCCATCAGGTCTGGGCTTTGAAAAGACCCTTACATCGAGTGTACGAAGTACAGCCTGGAGGGAGACAAGGCGGAGGTGGGAGTTGGAGACAAGGTGGGAGCTGGGAGTCGGAGCTGTGGTCCAGGTCGCGGAGACGGAAGTACATGCACTTGAAAAACGTTTAAGCGGCAACGACAACGAAAAAGGAAAATCATTTCGCCATTCAAACGATCCTCTTTCTGTAAAACCGATTTTCGTAATGGTAGATGTCGTGATACAGAGCTCAAAAAATGGCCATGTGAGAAATTTTTCTAGGAAGACAAAATCTGAAGTTTTCAATTTTGTTGTAAGAAATGCAATGAAGAGGAAACATCTCTCACATATTTTAAAGCCTTTATTCTTACAGAGAATTCACAAAAGATATACAGATAAAATCTGACAACATATGGATTTATCATTCTAAATATAATTCCATAGCATTGAGAAAGCATACATTTATGTTAGCAATATGTACACATTTATTCAAATATAAAGGTATAAATGTATACTTCTGAAATATTCTAAAAATATAACCTAAAAAGGAAAATCTTGATCAAATATGCAGGAATATGTAGTTACCTCTTAGGAAAAATAGTAGTAAAAATATATGTTAATAAACCATATGTAAACACAATTTTTAAAGAGAGTTTTGTAAATATTGTATAAATCTCTATGCATTTCCATTTGTGTTATCAAACCTTCCCAGGGAATTCAAATCACATGCATAGGTTATATAGTTAATCTATGATACACGCACATTCTACTATTATCCCATTCTACAGATGGGAAAATTAAGGCATGGGAAGTCACTGAATATTTTTAAGCTGCAACTGAACTTTAGAACATTGCCTTAAACCACAGATCCTAAATCAAATACCATATATATTTTAAAAAATGACTTAAGAAAGTTGCCATTAGAATACACACACGTAGACATACAATTGAAAAACTGTTGATCTACTTCTTAATGTCACAGAGGAGAAATATTAACTAAATAAAGAATTTCAGGATTCTTTATAAAAATGATGCCCCAGTAAATCTTAAGGTATTCTTAGATAAGAGGTTTTGACTTCGTGAAAGTATTTCTTAAAATAGAGATTTTCTCTAATTTCCCAATAACATTTCTATTTCAAAACAGAAAAAAAATGCAGTGTCATATGGACTTGATAACTTCAGCCAACATTTAGCTTTGCTTACATTATTAAGCAAAAATATTTCCAAATATTACATTAAATGGAGTTACGATAAGTGGATTGTCAAAATTACTGTGACCTTCAGACGATTTAGCTATAGTAGGTCTTTCACTGTAACATGTACACGTAATCTTGAGAAGATTCACGCGGCGAATTTGGTAGGGCAGGGACAGGAACATCTAGGGATGTTTACCTGACTGGCTGACATGGGCCCGGCCTCCCCACCGTGTCATGGAAAATGCAAGAAGAAACAAGAGCATGAGCAACTCTGTGTCAGTCGAGTGCTGACATCCGTTGTAAGCCAGCAGCACACCCCGCGCAGTGCCTGATATTCATTCCAACACTCCACCCACTTCCCAGAGTCAGATGCGGTCTTAATAAATGCCATTATCTGCATAGACGGTACAGCTTCTGGAACAGCTGTTCAGAAACCAGGACATAAACACCTGAGCCTAAATGTTCTTTACATGCTATTTCATGCTCCGGCTTTTGAGGTTTGTTTTTGACTGATGCAGAAGCCATAGGCACCGTTCTTGCAAGGGGAATCAAAAACCGTTGCTCCGGGTCTTGGTAGAAAAAAATCTGGAAAATAAAGTATATCTCGATTATATATCAAAGAAGTATAATTAAATGAGAGGAATTATTAGCAAGAAAGAAATGCTAAAAGCGAAATTTGCCTTGGGCACTTGCTAAAGGTGTGATTTGCCACGATAAGCCTGTCCTGTGTTGGCTAAAGACTGGAGTTTTCAAAATTAAGCGAGAATTCTTTCCTTATCCTACTCGATTTAATGCTCAGAATAGGACAAATTGCCTGGTGGTACCAGACACTTGGGGAGAAATTCATTTAGGTCTCATTCAAAAATTTCATCTATAACTGCACGTTCCTCTACGTTACCACCTATCAGCAAATGCCCCTTAACTTGCCATTAGCAAGTAACAACTAGTTCCAGGCAAATTCTAGGGATGCTGTTGAAAGCACAGAATGATTGCAACTGAGTTTGGATACTGACATGTAATTCTATAAAGCCTTACGTTGGAAATGTCACATTTCCACATAAGATATTAAAGACTTCTCAGGCTAACTTTCTATCACATCAATAATTAATAGGGAGGTATACTACAGAAAAAGTATTAGATTGTATTTAATACAGGATGGTATTATATATATTAAATATATACACTTATATGCCAGGGCTGTCAGCTAAAGCCCTATGGTCAAATAAGGCCCACCACCTGTTTTTATAAGTTTTATTGGATCCCAGCCTTGGAAGGCAGAATAACAGCCCTCAAAAAAATGTCAGGGCTCTAATTCCCAGAACCTGTGAATATGTAACTTACCATGGCAGAAAGAACTTTGCAGTGATTATAAAGATTATGGACCTCCTGACTAACAGCCAGTCAGAGAGATGCAGAAGGAGGAGGAGAGATTCGCTCTGACCGGCTTCGAAGGTGGGGGAAGAGGTCATGAACCGAGGGACGAGGGACGCGGGCAGCTCTGGAAGCTGGGAACAGTTCTCAGTGGACAGTGCGAGAATGGGGACCTAAATCCTACTACCTTAACAAACTCAGTTCTGCCAGCAACCCAGATTAGCAAGGAAACTGATTCACCCCAGGAGCCTTCAGAAAGGAAGGCAGCTGGGCCAGACACCTTGATGTTGGCTGGTTAGAGCCATGCGGGTTTCCTGACTCGGAGAACTGTACCATAATAAATTTGTGTTGTTTAACCAACTTTTAGTAGTTTGTTTTTAGCGATTTGTTACGGAAAACGAATACGACACCCACATCTATTCACTGACGAACTGGCTGAGGCTGCTTTCAAGCTACAAAGCAGAGTTAAGTGGGTGTGAGATTGGCCTTATGGGCTGCAAAGCCTAAAATATTTGCCGGCTGGCCCTTTGCAGCCAAGGTCTGTCCACCCTTGATACTTTTAAGCAAAAGCCGTAACAGCAGCTGGCATTTATTGAGCACTTAGTTGATGCCAGGCTCTAGGCTAAGTGTTTAGTATTCACATCAACTACCTGGATAGATACTACTTTGGTCCCTATTTTACAAATTAAAAAAATAATAATAAAATAAAAGGGGGCAGAACGGTTAAGTAACTGCTCCAGGTCATCCCGAGCATCCGCGGTGAGCAAGGGGTTCAAGCCCTGGCCAGGCTGACTTGCGAGCGCGCCTCACCCTCGGTCACGTGCAGCATCCCGGCTGCTCACGTGAGGCCGCTTAGCGCCGGCAGAAAGCGACGGGGAGCTCCCGGTTGGGCACCATTATGCCTAAGTGCAGCATCGTCACAGGCTCGCTGTCCGTGGCCACGAGGTCATATTTGCGGACGATCTAGAACACACGTGCATGAAACAGCAGGGTTCCCCGCTACCCTCCGCCCCTGTCCTGTGGGTAGCACGGATCGCAGCCCAGGAAACGGGGCGGAGGTTTTACCCAGCAGAGAGCCAAGTGGAGCTGCAGCTCAGCTAACCGGCGGCCGATGCACATCCTCTTCCCAGTGCCGAAGGGAAGGTGCGCGAAAGGGTTGATCTTTTTCTCTTGAAGCCATCGTTCCGGTCTAAACTGACTTGAATCTTCAAAGTTTTCTTCATCAGACCCCAACACCTGGGTGTTGAGCATCAGCACTGTCTAAAAACACACAGAAACACATAGCATTTAAAATAACCAGAAGAAGATGTCTGAATCGTGAAATTTACGAAGGCAATCACCTTCCCAATGGAAAAGCAACCACACATTTATAATGGCGAAGATTTGCAAATGTGTGGCGTACTCACGATGATCACGTGTGGTGGATTTTGTTATTATCCCCATTTTACAGATGAGAAAGGTGAGGCTCGCAGAGATCACGTAACTCACTCAAGGCCATACTGGAATCCAGTTCTCTGTGCCCACACTCATTATTCCTGCCTCTGTACTACGCAACATGTCAACTATGCACTACAATCTACATATCTGAAAAAAACGAATGCTTTCTTTGTCAAATTTTTTTAGGGGACGCAGATGAATATTTGGAAAGCGCATCTTTCAAAACTCTTTAAGGTTCAAATTCTACTTACTCCTTTGGGTAAAGCATATTCGCCCAGAACCATGGCCTTGTCAAGAGTCCTAGTTGTAAATGGCACACTCGGGGTGAGCCTGAAATAAACAAAACCAGAGGCATAAAGGTGGGCACAGACCAAGTTCTAGCGCAAGTGTCTGTGGGAAGGCAGATGCTGGTTAAATAGACTGTCGCTTATGCTTATACTCCAGAAGGAAACCTGATCACATTTCTTCGTAAAGAAGTCTCGTCGTTTTCTTCCCAATATTTATACCTCGTGTTTCTATACTTTATCTTCGCAGGTGGCTAAACCCCCAGGACTGGCCTGCTTTGTAGCTGTTAGTAGTGGTTTTGCTCCGTTTCATTCCAGATTTCAAACGTACGCGTTTTTCACGCTTCACCCTAAAGCTCGATGTTCGTTCTGGGTTTCTCCCATCTACCCTTCGTGAAGGTAAAGGCGTGTCCATGTTATCTGAAGATGGTGTGAGAGATGGTGTGAGTTTTGTTTTCCGGAAAGAGGGTAAAGGGAATTTTCAAAGGACATTTTATACCAGTGGCTCTAAACACAGAGATGTCTCCATGTCTTATATAATCATATGGTGCCCTTGCTGGGCTGTCATCTCAGATCTTTTGATGATGGCCCTAATCTTGGTTATTGCATACGGCATTCATTAAAGTATTAGTATTACTGATTTAAAGGGGAGGATACTGACTTCACAAGATGTGACAGAATTTGGCCAAGTGATTTTGAGAATGAGAAATAGAAAAGGAATATAGTTCCGAGGCTTTTTTTTTTTTTTTTTTTTTGCATATGGTAAGTGTTTATGAATTAACTGTGGGATTGTCTGTGGGAGAGACCCCTTATTACATATTCAAGAGAACAGCTGTCTGACATACACGCTTAGGCATGCATTCTTACCTCATGGATTCTTTTAGACAGGCTTTTAGATATGGCATATTCTTCAAATCCTCTGCCCGTGGCATCCGATTCTCAGGCAGTACACTCTGAATTTCCTTAAGAAGCTTCTGTTGCACATGGGGATTACGGGATAAATTGTAAAGAAGCCACATTAAGCTGTTGGCTGTCTGAAAAACAAATGGACACAAACTTGAGTTTCTGCAAACTAATTGCCTTAAAACCAGTACGAGCCAAGGCAAAGGTGATGCCCACCACTCTGTTCTGCAAATAGATTAGCGGGGCTTTATCACATGCCCTTCTTTGCTGTGCCGTAAACCAATACGAAACATGAAAAGTCACATTTATTTTACTTAAACATAACGATTAAAGACAGTTAATTTACTGAGGGAATCAAAATAGAATCCTGTGCGTAATGTGCTGCATTAGGACACTTAAGATATAGTTTGATACAAAAATGGTTTAAACACAAATGAGCACACGTAACACTGGGGAAAAGAGAACAAGTTGCGTGGATCGTGTCAAGGTCAATTTCGGGTTCTGATACGGTTTGATTGCTATGCAAGATTTACCATTGGGGAAACCAGACGAACACAGGGAACGCTCTCAAATGTTCTTAAAGCTGCGTGTGAAACTCTATCTCAAAACAAAAATATCTTAAAAATCGAATGAGGAGAGAAGGACAGATTCTAGGAGTGTTGTTAATAAGTGGGTCTTTAACAAAATTTTACATGCAAAGGCACAAGAAACTTTACTTTTGGAATTTTAAAAAAAGTTTTTTTTTTTTTTTTTTTTTTTTTGCCACACGCTAAAAAGTTACCACAAAAATATAAAGGCATCATCTGTGCTCAGGGTTTCAGCCACATATAAAGAGCCCTCACAGGAAGTACCAACACCAAAATAAGAAATTCTAGCATTGGGCTGAGTATTTCAAGGAACCAGCCACAGTTTCTGACAATGGCTCGTGGCCTTTTAAGTGACACCCTTGATTTCCTTTCCAGAGGCAACGAGAGAAAAAAAAAATATTGGCGGAAACAGCCCAGGTAGCTTTCAGCTTTATAATAGTCACCACTGGTAGTCATAAGTATTTGTTCTTTAGGCCGTTTTTCAGTTAATTTAAACCAAATATTCCTGTAAAAATGGTCATTGTGTCCTCCCTCTGTAGACGTGAAGACGCTTTTGCTAAATGCCATGCACCACTCACACGGATGAGCAAAGTGCAAGACGATTTAGAGCCAATGGCATTTATTATTTTTGGAAGAAGATGTCTCCAAGACAGGCTTCTTCATGTCAGAGGGCTGGCCGCCTCAGCTGCAAATAAGCTGTAGACGGCATTATCGCATGAGTCGAATTTACAAAACAGGGAGAGGGCATAGGCACCAAATAAGATACACTTTCGAATTTCTCTGATTTTCAGAATTACCAGGACAAACACAAAACAAAACAAAACACCAGATCTGATCGTATCATATTGGCGGGTCCCTCGAGTTTCCAAAATGCAGATAACTGTAGCTTTCACCAAAGTCCTGTAAGATGGCCCAGGGCCTGTTAGGGTAACTGCAGGGGCTAAGTCAAGGGCAAGTGGCCTGGGAAACCTCACGGGCACAAGCCGTCCTGGCTTGACCTCCACGGAGGAAACCGACCTCATAGCTGGCCTTCCTGCTTCCACTCCCCACCCACCTGCTAGAGCTCCGAAGGCTTTCCATCACAGGGGCGATGGAATCCAAATGCCTTCTAAGGCTCCCGGTTAACATGGCCCGTAGGCTTCTCCCATCTCAACTCTGATGGCGTTCGCTAGCTCCCCGGCTCCCTCCCTCCTCCTGCTCCGGGGCCTTTGCGTGGGCTGTTTCCTCCGCCTGAAGTGATCTCCCACCGGAACTTTCTATGGTTGGTCCCTTCTTATCACTCCAGTGTCAGCTCCAGCAGACACAGAGAGGGACCCCGCGCCCATCTCTCTGTTACATCGCCCTGATGGCTTCCTCCATGTCCCGCACCACTATCCAGAATGATCATGTTTATTCGTTTGTTTGCATGTCTACGTTTGCACGGTAAGTTCCATGAGGGGAACTGGTTCATGGTGGTCTCTCAAGTATCTGGCACCTACAGGCACACAATAGTTTCTGAATTTTTTAATTTATCGAACAAGTACTTATTGAGCACCTACTATATGCCAAGTGCTATTCTACATCTGAGGAATACAGCAGGGGACAAAAACCCAGTCATCGCCCTCACAGAGCTCACATTCCAATTGGGAAAAAAATGGGTGAAGCTTTACTTTCATCTCTCTATGGAGCCTCTTTGGGCAAGTGAGTTGAAATGGATTCCTACTTTCGAGAAGCTTCTGGAACATGAGAAATCAGAAACTTGCTATTCCCCGATGTAGAAAGTGCTATTTTTTCTTCAGACAAGAAACTCTATGGAAAGGGGGGAAAATGTGGACGAGAAATGAACTAGTTTACATTCTTCATAGAAGCTACTGGTGTATGAAATATTGGGCCTATGAGGAATCTTAATATGCTCATTCCAACGGTAGCTCAAAAAATGAATCGAGACAATTAAACCCACCTGAACGCTTGTCAGTATTTGCGTGTGGAGTGGGTACTGTGTACCTCCTACGAGTGCCCACCACATCGGGGACAGAATTCTGACAATTAGCCATTTCGTTTAAATTGAAATCAACATCCCCAAATGCACTATGTTCCTATTTTAAGTGTAAAAATATTATTGGGCTGGCAGAGAGTATGCCAATATTTTTACAGTACATAACAGCCACAGTTAGGTAACATACAGAACCACCAAAAATATATCCCATTGTTAAAAATTTAGATCATCTGTCTTGCTGTGGTGTGGAATCTTACCGCTTCTGAATTCCTGCGGCATTTTGCATGCTGATCTCAGCACTTACATTTTGCCTGGATTTTTGTCACTAGGTTACTGGGCACAGACCAAGTTCTAGCTCTAGAATTTTCCTCCTGTCATACGCTTAAGCACAAAGGCAGTGCCTTGGGTCTCCCACAGCACCTAGGATGAGACTTTTCATCCGTACTGAGCTTTAGCTCAGTTAATCCCTGTGGAACATGTGAGTTGAATGACTATTTAAAACGTATCGTGAAAAGGATTTTGCAGGCCGTTTACTTGGCAAACTAAAACCAGGCCCACACTCACCGTTTCTACTGCAGCCAGCTGGAGCTCCGTGACAGCCGCGTACAATTCTTTCTTTGAAAGCTGATTGTTGTGATAAATATCACAAAGGAAATCTGGGCCGGGCTGCCCAGAGTATTTGTCTAACCGCTGGTCGACACAAGATTTGACTATTGGAGAAGAGAAGAGGCAGAGGACGTTAGCTGGACGTTAGGATGCAGAAAAGAACGAAAGGGAGCCTAAGAGGAAACCTTGGCAACCTCAGAAGGGTCTTTTCGGGGACAGTGACACTGTCCGGTTGGCTCATATCGGCTTGTTGAGTCGGCAAGCATCGATGGATGCCCACGGAGCGGGGCTTCTCAAACGTTAACGTGCATAACGGTCACCTGGGCTTCCTCTTAACATGCAGATTCTGAACCGAGGGTCCAGGGTGGGCCTGGAAGTCTGCATTTCTAACAGGCTCCCAGGTCAGGCCGACGCTGCTGGTCTGCAGGTCACCTCTTGACTAGTAAAAGCTTAGAGCTTGGAGGACATCGCCATGAGACAGAGGTGGGGTTCGGAATCACAGCTTGGACCGAGATCCAGGTGTCTGGTTGATCCGGTCGCCGATACAGGCAAATATACTAATATAGGATTCGGCTCCCAAATCTTGGCAATGGACGAGGGGAGAAGCCCTCCGCTAATGTTATCAAACATAAACACACACACGTGCGCATGTGCGTGCACACACACGATGCCCATGAATGCTGCCCATGAATGTTTAATGTTTGTAAAGAACATTGTAGGCATTTGTTTCCCTCACTTCAATCCATGATGCGAGCCTCGACCAGAATAATAACAACGGCGATGTTGGCAATAATAATGACAACGGTGGTTAGAGTATGAGCTTTGGGGGCCCTTCTGCCTGACTTCAAACCCTGGCTCTGCCATCACCTAGTGTTTAATCTCGAGAAACTTACTTAACTGCTTTGTGCCTCAGTTCCATCATTTGGGACTAAAAGAAGGACCTACCTTAGAGTATTTTTGATGGTAATTATATGAGTCTGTATGTATAAAATATATGTATTATTATGTCATAGAACAATAACCTAGCACCAAATATTCCCTCCATAATGGAGCAGAAATAGGTCCGATACACTGAGATGTTGTCATATGCCAGGTTTTTACGTTATCTGTTTTAGACCTAGAAACAGTCGCATTGAGTTAGGTAACTAGTATTATTGTCCTTATCTCAGAGATAAGACAGCCAAAGATGAAAAGGAGAGAGCACGTTTGGCCACCCCACCAGGGACAGTGCTGGGACTTGAATCTGTGACTCCGAAGCTCTTGCTTCTAACCATTGCCAGCTCCCAAGACAACAGAAAACCACCTCCTGCCTCTTCCTTAGATTTCGTCTACACCGTGGCGATCCCCAAGCTTGTGCTTGCAAAGCCCAAAAGAATCAGAAGCGACTCCATCAAAGGATCAGGGAGGCCAGACCAAGCGGACCGTCCCAGACCTCCGGGCAGCAGCTTCAGAGACAGGGTGGCCGGGCGTGGGTGGCCATGGTACCTGACTTGAAAATGGTGTCCCAGGCCAGCGTGTGGGCCTGCCAGATCTTGGTGTTGAGGCTCCGGTGCAGCTCGACAGGCGTGACCATCATCCTCCCAAACGTGCTCATCATCTGTGAGGGACACACACGCCCTTTCATCCAGGTTTCTCTTCCTCTCCATGACAACTTTCACTCTGGAATACAGCTGTTCTAAACGCAGCAACCTGTGCCTCCCCAAAGGCCGGAATTCAAAGGACCCCCGAACTCCCAGGCCTCTCCTCAGGAGTCCTGAAAGCAGGCCCCACCCCATCCTCCAGTGACATAATAAAAATCATCTTGAGGAGGATGATTTTCTGCTGGAAATGTTTAATGAAAAATTCACTCTTACGACCTAAATGTTAAAAAAAAAAAGCAAAACGGAAAACTGTAACTGTCATATTCACTTCAATTTCCAATCATTTCTAAACCTCAGCCATTTCTAGACCAGTTTCACAGCGTCTAATGCAAAAATTTTAAATCTGAAAATTTTCAGACTCTTTAAAATATCATTTTAATCAACTGAACTTTAACTGAAATACCTATTTCAACTTTGCCTAAACAATGATTTCATGTGCTTCTGCATGAAAAGACGTGTAACGCACATTAAAATGAATACTTAACTATCAGAATAAAATATGGGTGCATGCCACTCTCGGAGGAAGACTGAGACAGATTTCTGACATCCTGGGAATATTCAGTCAGGAAAACGACTCTCTTGCTAGGGGGTGCTTACTGTTTTGATGGCCATGATGAAGTTCAAAGCTTCGTCCCCTGTGTTCTTCTGAAGGAGCCCAAATCTCTTCTCATAGAGCACAAGGCAGATGCCTGTTATTTAAAAATAATCAACACTGTTCCACAATCTGGACTCTGCGATTCATTAGCTGGCTACTAAAGCCTGGATTCTCTCTCTCCTAGAAGAGAGATCTCTTCTAAGAGCAGAGGCGAAGAGTCTCAGAGTCTGATGACTCTTTCTAGAAATCGTCGCCAGGTGCAATGCCCCATCATCCCCTGCAGGACCTCCTGGGGAGAAATGCCCTGTGCAGATGTGGTACCTGAACGAGTCGCTCCCATAATGTCTTGCTGTTGCCCAAGTTAATCACTGCTGTCACGGGGAGCAGCCATTCACCCAATATTCTTTCTCCCCCATGTCCTCCCTGAGAGAACCCTGATTTTACGTAGCATTTACATATCAGTCCTCAAGCAATAAATCAGGAGTGATCTAAGACTCATGACAGCCCTGTTCCCTGGTTTCCCGGGCTTTTTGGAGCAGCCACAGCAGCTGCATGACCCAGCTCTGGACAGTGCGACCACGAGGAAGTACTGTTTTTGCTTTCTTGATACAGGGCGAAAAGTACCCTCTTCCCGTCTTGTTTTTGTCTAAAATGCACAGGCGAGGCCAGGTCACCATTTTGCAGCAAGCCAACGAGCTAAGGAGAGATGAGCAGGAAGACAGAATGAGCGTGGCTCCCCGGTGACATCGGTGAGAGCCAGCTGTGGACTGCGGTCCCCGAGACTTCTCATAATGCTCTACAATGATTTTTAAACCACCGCAGTCAGGTTTTCATTGGCTTGCAGAGAAATGCATTCGATACTCCTTAACTGGGGTATGTGAACAGCGGACAGTTTCCAAAACACACTCTTCCACAATCATTCCTTCTTTTTGTCCTTGTCCCCTTCCTACATTCTGCGGATTTCTTATTAGCATGGAGCTTTCTAGTGTGCTAAGATGACTGGGCAGGACAAAAGCCTCCGCCGTGGGGTGCGCCCCCCAAACCCTCGCATCAGCAGCCAGAGTGGCCCTTGCACCAGATCGAACCCTGCACCCCGTCCTGTTAAAAGCACTCTGGTCTCCCAGGTACTCCGGGGCTCAAAGCCAAGCTCTGCTCCCTGGTTTTATCCCGGTTTACAGGGCTGGCTTCTGCTTTCGTACCATCCTCTGCCCTCGCCAGGCCCCTCCCTTGCAAGAGATGCTCCGGTCATTCTGAATGCCTTTCTGTTCCTTCACCATAACTTCTGTTCCTCTGCCTGGAACATTCCTCTTCCCCTCACTTTCATCTGGAGAGCTCTTGCTCATGCCCGAGGCCTCAGCTGAGATGGCATCACCTCCGCCAAGCGCCTCCATCAAGCCCAGCCAAGCCCGCCCTCTTGATTCTCCCACAGCCCTGAAGCGCGGTAGTCAGGCGCTCACACATGCTGTTGAAACTGCCCTGGCTCCCCTGCCTGAGTCCCCAACTGGGCAGGGAGCTCATCAAGGCAGGTTTCTGCTCCTTATTCCCAGAGCGATCCTTGAAGAAAGATCACGCCCCCTTCTGTTTGAAACTGTCCATGTCTCCGATCTGACGTCAATGAAAAGTTCTTACGCTGACTGGGCCCTGGCTTGGTCTTTCTCAGCTCGTCTTTCCCCTCCCTCGAAGTTCCTCAGAGGCTTCCATCATGCTTCTGCCCCAGGGCCTTTGCACTTCCTGTCTGCACCGTCGGGAACAATCTCCCCACAGATACTCTCGCGGCTTGCTCCTGCCCTTCCTTTAGGTCTCCCCTCAAACGTCTCCTTACCACAGCAGGCTTGCCCCATCTTGCTAGGCATCATGTTCTTCTTGACTCCCTTAGCCCTTGGCAGGGTATGTACTAAACTGTGTTTAATGCCTTGTCATTGATCACCCCTACTAGTACCTAAGCTCCATGTGAGCACGGATGTGGCCTGTTGTGTTCACTGCTGTGTTCCTAGTCCCCAGTGTGGTGCCTGGCACGCGGCAGGTAGTCGCTAAGTGTTTGTTGATTGACCACACAAACCACCCATCGTGCAAAGCGTAACTTCCGTGCCCAAAGGCTTTAGAAAGGCTGCTATGGCCCCTCCACATCAGCAACGGTCTATGGTTATGGAGAAGCTGTCCACAGAGCCACGTTTTATCCTCAAAAAAATCACCTGCCCTATCAAATGAACAAGACTGTAAAAACGACTTACTTTCAAATGACCATTTGTTCAGTTCACTGTATAAGTCTTCGATGTGGCCTCTCTCGTCACAGAGTTCATCTATTCTACCTGTAAAATCTGCCAAGACCTTAAAAAAAAGGAAGAAACCACAAAAGACACGGTCCAGTCATTGAGGGAAAACGAAAATTTAAAGCTCAGTAAGCTACTCCCAGGTTTCTCCGCCTTGTGTGTTCACTGAAGCAACGTTAATTATATATTTTCTTTGGGAGGTCACCTGACACCCCAACAACCTTGTCCTGGGGGGTTTCCTCAGCTTTTCCTGTAGCCACCCAAAAGCTTCAGTTTCAGCTTTTGTCTAAATGTAAAGAAAGGCAAACATTTCTTC